GCGATGTCCGGATCTAATGGGCCGGAACAGAAAAGGAGTGCGGAGTGCGACGCGGAAACCGGGCGGGCTCCGGGATTCCGCGGCGGTTGCGGCTAAGCTCCGGCTACCTCGCATGCAGACGGGCCTGCACACGAGCCGGCCGCCGACTCGGAATCCGATGCCAATTTCACTTTCTCGCGATTAGGAAAACAATCGCGAGCCGCCTCCCGCCGCCCCGGAAAATTCCCGCCCCTCTCCCACGGCCGTCGGACGGACCACTGGCACCGCGTTATGTAGAAAGGAACCAAGCCACATCAAATGGATTGCATTTTGCAAAAAGGAACCACTAGCATTGCAATGTTGCTAAGATTGTGCAACTTCTTTTGTCTTGGAGGAAGAACCCGATTATCCATTAATAATTTCTATTTTACTCGCTAAAAACTGTAAATTTAAGACAAAAATTACCATCTAAATTTCATAGTTTTTCACGATCTCTGCAATTTTATTGCAAAAGATGGAGTCGCACAATCTTAGCATCATTGCAATGCTAAAGGTTCCTTTTTGCAAAATGCAATCCAAATATTGCCAAATTGAATTAAAAAATTTAATAAAAAATTGGGGCAATTTTAATTTGCAACATCAAAACGTTTGGACGGATTTTTGTACGAGTGACAGTGAATTTTCTGCATAGTGCACAGCACATAAATGTTGTCTCTGTAATTTGTGGTTCACAGGTGACTTGTAAGGAGATATAAATCGTTCTCTTACCGACCAAAACATCGAATAAAACTGAGAAATATGTCAACCGTTCAAATTCAAATCGTAATTCATCTAATATCGCTGACTGATATAAGCAGCGTGTGTCTGTAAGTAAAGGATATGTGCGAATCGTATTGCTGGAGACTTTAACGCGACGTTAAGAAAGTAAAATTCTATCATTCATCATTTCTAACCATACTTCAAGCTGACACAATTGGATCTGAATGAGAGAGATCAAAGTACCTTTTTTTCGTTTTTCTGGTGGGAGGGCGGAGTGAGACTAAAAGGATAGTCATTTCGTGGGTCAAAAGCTTCAAATCACAGGTTATTAATCCGATGCCAATTTCACTTTCTCGCGATTAGGAAAACAATCGCAAGCCGGCTCCTGCCGCCCCGGAAAATTCCCGCCTCTCTTCCACGTCCGTCAGACGGACCAATGGCACCGCGTTAAGCAGAAAGGAGCCAAGCCACATCAAATATTGCCAAATTTAATGAGACAATTTAATTTTCAGCATCAAAACGGTTAGACGGTTTTTTGTTCAAATGTCAGTGAATTTTCTGCATAGTGCACAGCAAATTCTTTAACATTTTCAAAGGAATCCGCGCAAACGTTCTCTCGTAAGAAATTAAATTGCTCAGTTAAGATTCAGTCAAGATTTAGTTAAGAAAGGAACCAATAAGCCCCACCAAATATTGCCAAGTTTAATGGGGCAATTTAATTTTCAACATCAAAACGGTTGGACGGATTTTTGTACACATGTCAGTGAATTTTCTGCATAGTGCACAGCAAATTCCTTAACATTTTCAAAGGAATCCGCACAAACGTTCTCTCGTAAGAAATTAAATTGCTCAGTTAAGATTCAGTCAAGATTCAGTTGAGAAAGGAACCAAGCCACATCAAATACTGCCAATTTAATCGGGCAATTTAATTTTCAACATCCAAACGGTTGGACGGTTTTTTGTACAAATGTCAGTGAATTTTCTGCATAGTGCACAGCAAAGTCTTTAAAATTTTCAAAGGAATCCGCAGGAACGTTCTCTCGTAAAAAAAAACTAAATTGCCCGGTTAAATTTGGCAGTAGCTGATGTGGCTTGGTTCCTTCCTGTTAAACGCGGTCCAATTTGCGCGTCTAAGGAGCAGTAATAGTTGCTGGTACCAGTTTGATCATATTCATTTGGCTCTAGCTTGAAACATGGCTCTAGCTTGGAACAGCTTAAGCGGCAAGTTTGAATAATCGCGTCAAACACAGTGCGTCCGGCGCGAGGCTGGCGCGAACGCATAGTAGCGCCTTACAAGGCCGCAAGATACTTCATGCATTGCGCGCACAGCACGGTGCGGGCGACGCAGAGTATAGCGCCTTACAAGTCAGCCGGATACTTCATGCATTGCGCACATATCACGGTGCGCTATTAAGTCATTGAGAGGACGTATTTTCTTGGCGTCAAACCTACACCGGTGTGCAGTGTTCCACACAAACGTTCTCTCGTAATAAATTAAATTGCTCAGTTAAGATTGGCAATAAATGATGTGGCTTGGTTCTTTTCTGCTAAACACGGTCCAATGTATCTCTGGCAATGATCTCCATGGTAATCAAATTTCCACGACAGGGGTCTAAAACGCCCCTTATCAAGGTGAGTTTGAGAGAGGATAGTGAGAGACACCCCACCAAAGGAGATTTGCGGGGCTTTCCAGTTCTAAACGAGGATTCAAAGAACTTTCTTGGCTACAAAAGAGATTTTTGGGAACTTCTCTGAGAAAATTATTTATTAGACATCGTCCCTGTAGACATTTTGACGGGCTTTCATTGAAAAATTGATCAAATGATAATTTCAAAGATGAGACATTATTACCCAGTATTACCTAGCAAAATTCCGAACGTTTTCCAGGAGGGGCTAAGTAGATTACTTGGNGGGGGGGGGGGGGGGGGGCTACCGAAACCGTAATTATAGCATCAGCATAACAAAAGTTTGGCTGGTAACGGCACTTAAAATCACGATCTACGATTGGGGCGACTTCATTTTTTAAAATACGCTACGCTTTTTCAGGCAGTTAGTTTAGTTGCCTATCCGACCCAAACCCAATTGAATATGTAACTGTTTTCACTACAAGCACACACGAGGGTAAAAGTTGCAACCACGTTTTTTTACGAGGAAAAAGCACCTTTTTCAATTAAATACTAAATAATCATTACACTCTTCTTGTTTTTTTATTTCTGAATAACATGATTATCTATTTAGCACCACACTGATAAAAATGTTCGTGTTCTTGTGTTCCTTTTGGTTAATATAGGAAGAGAAACACAAACTAACACTTTTGTGGTAATTTTGATACAGTTTGCGGTGAATTAAGCGCAGAAAACAATGGAGAGGCTAGGTAAATGCATTCTTCTAATTGCGATGTTGGTATTAACGACTCGTTTTTTATTAAATTATTTCAAGAAAGCAAGTTGGCATTTTTTTTAAAATTGTCAACCGAAGGCTAGGGTTATTTTATAAGTATGTTTGACTTCTCGCATTAACCAAAGTTTTCTGTTGAAATTTTTCTTTGTGCAGTGACTTGCAAAATGCCGGTAGTTCATAATTTATTGCAACATTTGAATAACTGCTTAGAGGAGTTTTTACGTGTTTACATCGTCTTTTTTTTTAAAAAAAATGTATGCAACAAAATATGTCAAAAAATATCTAACCTAACCTCAGTTTTTATCAATAATTATTTTTAGTTCAGAAAATTTAGTTTCGCGGGAAAGTTGCTTGAAATTTGTATCTGCTACATTCAAGACTAATATTTGTCGGCTTCAAACTCAATCTTACCACCTGAGTGCAACAGATTGACTCGCATTTATGCACGCGAACATGAGCACACGTTGACATGAAACTCATCATTACGTTAGAATTTTCTCCGTCCCACGATCCATCCCAAATACATTTCCATTACGATTTCAGATACGGCCCTAAAGAGTGCCAATTCAACATGCTGCTTGTGTAATATAATTACTCTACAGTACACAATCATAAGAATAACGCGAAATGCATAACGCTTGAGACGCAGAGCACTTCGGTGGGTGGGTGGATCGCGTAGGCTTGGGGGCGTAACCCCTTAGTAAGATAAAATTATTTAAAATTGTGACTACTTCTTTGAATCATGCTGAAAGTAGGACCAACGTCTAGAATTTTAAACCTGTGTCCATCCATTTTTCCAATTTAACACCATCATTTGCTTCAAAAATCAATTTTTATCCTCTAACGTTTCCGTCCGAGAGAAAAAAAAGGGAAAAAAAGAAAATTAAAAAAAATCCGTCCCTTTTGATTTGTCTTGTTCATTGATTTTCTATTTATCAATTTGAATGCTATTCGTTATTTTTCATTTATTTACAGGTGGTAGTGTTACAAAAAAAGCACAAGGCACACTAAAATTGTGTCTCATCAATGCCCAAAAAAGATTTTTTTTTTCTTTTTGATTTAATTTTTTCCAAAACAAAAGATTTTAAGATTTAAAAAAAAAAAAAAATTAAAACAGGCATACTGTACAGAGGATTTTCTGAAATTTAAGATGCTCCATCAACAATTGTCGCTTACTTCCATGGTAAGCTAAAACGGAATATATCGTTAGCAAATGAACGATAGTTTTTGGAAGTAAATCCACGGGTGGAGTACGCGCAGCTAAAATCGGCAATGCTGTGGGTCAATGAAAACGAGACGGAAGGAAAAGGGAAGCCCGACCATTGACTGGTGGGAAAAAACCGAAAGGAAAAGAACCAGGAAGGCGGCGAGGGAAAATAAAGCCGGCCAGGGGGGCGGGGGCCAAGACGGGGGACGGGGCGAAGGAAGGCTCGAAAGAAAGGGAGGGTCACAACGAAAGTAAGTTGGGAAGGACGAAGGAGAGAATCTAGAAGATGACACTAGATGCGCGTGTGGTGGTGCCCAAGTCCAAGTTCAACTCGGCCAAGGGCACGCCGTCCGCGGCTGACGTCGCGACGTAGGGAGGCGCGGCAACGCCAGAGCTTCCGAGGTGGGGGATGGGGAGGCTCGAGTGGGGGAAAGGTTAGGTAGAGCCTACGGACGGCCGGACGGGGGGCTCCGCCCCCCGCGCCCCTCCCGCCTCCCCCAGGGTGGGCCGAATCGGGTCCCGTGACCGCCTGAAATCGAGGCAGGAGCGCGCGCTAAGTGCCATGATTTGTGGACGGGGTAAAAAAGAAAGAAGAACGGATTGTCGGGTGAGTTTTTTTCGTCCGGGATAAAAGCAACTAGCGTGCGGCCGAAGTGAAACAGTTAAGATTGTTTAAAGGACCAAAGGTTGTCTCCGGCCGCAGTCTGAGCTTGGCGCCCGTCGCAAGTGGACATCTTTGTTGTGTTTGTGCGTTTTAGTGTTGTGTGATAATGAAGTTCTGGACCCTCGTTTGTGTTCTCGGGTGCTCCGCAGTGGCCCTCGGAGCCCCGGCCGCTCCCGAGCAGCAACCCGAGTCCGGATCCCTTCTGGAGTCCGGCGTCGAGAAAGTGTACAAATTCATCCAGGGATGCGGGAACAAGGACATGTCGTTGTGCATCAAGATGAGGGCCCTCACCTTCGTCGACAACGCCGTGCGCGGTGACCAGATCAACCTCATCGACGGAGTTTCCTTCGTCCGCGCCGAAACCAACGAGGCCGACCGAACCCTCAACGGTCGCGCCCTCTCCGAGGATGAGCTCGACGCCAGCCTCCCCGCTAACTCCGACGACAGGAACAGCCAGGTGGAAAACCTCCTCGTTGACCGAGTTGCTCGATTCCTCGAGAGCCACACCCTCCAATTCAAAGTTCCCGACTCATCCATCTCCGAATTCAGACAGACCGTCGATGAAGGTAAGAAATAAACACAATTCACCAAAGATTCAACCCCCACAACTCTCAGAGGAATAATAACGTAAAAGCTCAGTTAATATGAGAAGTGGAACATAAAGTAACCCAAACCATCGTTTGATTATGGGATTTTCCAATTTTTCAGTACAAACTTTACCAAAATCAACAATAAAATTTGGGTTGGTTTGTGTGTCACTCCGTATGTTAACTGAAAATAATACCAAGATTTTCCTCAGTATTATTTCAAATTTGTCAAAAGCAACAATGAGATCACCCAAGCGAAAGATACCATCATATTTACTATATTAGGATTGCACACTGCACAGACAAAACTCATATTCATCTTATCATGTAGTCAAGAAGCAAAAGTTAAGTTCATTCATGTTCAGAGATTTAAGTGAAGGCCGTAGCGAAAGAGGGGATAGTATTCAAGATTGTTTAACTTTTTTACGAAGTGTCTGCTCATTACTGTCAGATTTACGAGGAATGAAGTTAAACATAGTGCCAATAGAGCAATATCATGCATTAAAATAAGTATGGTAGACATTCACTTTGAGTTTTGGATGTGCAGATCTGCTTAGACACATGGTAAACATGGTTGTATCTTTCAACTGTGTGGTCCAATCATGTTGTCACTTTTTGACATATCACATGGAAGGTTATCAATAATGATGAATGAACATCCTGGACATGTTGCGGCAAAAAGCCCCTGTGCTTTGATGGATTTTTTTTCTTTCTTATTGAGTGCTGGCGTAAGTTAAAAATGAATCCTTAACAAGCAAAGTTAAAAACAAGTCAAATAAGACGATAAGGAATATTTGCAAGTTTGAACCGCAGAGTGGTAACGGTAAAAGTAAACGAGAGAATCTATTTTTTGATTGAGCTTTGGACATTGGGAAAAATCGATGGATACTTGATTCAATCATTCCTATTGAGAACTCTGTGTCATTTTTAAACAATTTTTCTAACTGTTTTCTTTTCTTTGCCCTTATTGACAAATAATAAGGATAAATATGGGTGACTTTTATGTTGAATATTTATGATTTTGTTTCGTGAGTAACATAAGAGAAGAGCAACACTTAAGGATAAAAAGAAGAAATTTATATTCGAGAACGGAAGGTTTCAACTTAAACGATTTCAACTTAAATTTGAAGCTTTTAAAGTTTTTCGGAAAAAATCTATGGGATGACCTGGTCAGCGTGAGGGCATGCCACGTGGTTTCGCATAGTGCGTTAATGGAATGATTAGAAAAATCATTAGTCGCCTATTTTCAAACACTTCAACCTGTCATCCATTCCAAGGTTTTGATGATGAACATGCGGCATCAATATTTCCGGGGATTTTTACATATTTTAGTAAGCTTCATTACTCTCAGAAAGTTGGCATGCGCTGGTGTAGAACACGATATTGAATAATATCCAGTTAATGGAGAGCAAATGACTGATTAGGCCGGAAGGAATTTTAGAGCTACTGCGTGATGAGAAAGACTCACATTTTTTTTCAAAGGAAAGAAAAAAGTATCGGATTTTTTGCACATTCGGAATACAATAAATGCATTCCGAATTCTGCTCTCGTTTGCTAAAGAAGCATAGTAACTTTCACTAGATAGGGGTGTTCTACGTGTGACATTGCCTTTTTTCAAAATATTATTATTTTATTTCCTTAAACCAATAAATAAATTTTTTTTTTCTTTTTTTATATAATTTGCTTTCCTCGATACATGAATTTTTTAATGAAAACTTGTCATAATTTGCTAAATTGTGTAAGTATTACAAAAGGAATTGATTTTCGATCAATATTTTGTATTTTTTTTTTTCAAATTTTAAACTTGTTTTGTTTTAAGAAAAAAGTAACCACATCTCAGTTAAAAAACACAAATTGATGCATCCTTTTTACCTCGATACATTCGCAAAAAAATTACGTTTAAAACATAATGGAAGGATCTGCTACACACACACACACATGTAATGTGGTCATTCTGCGGTGTGGACACACGCGGTTTTCAGAAATTAAACAGGACCGTGAATATGGTGTCGATGTTGTTTGAACCCCCATCGAATTGTGTTAATACTTACCTTGCAACTTTAATCTTAGAGCTGAATGGATCTGTTGCATATACAAAATACATTTAATTGGGTAGACTTATCGGATTTAAAATCGCACAAAAATTATGATGATCGGGGCAAAGAGGTCTAAAATTTTCTCCTTAGCACGCAATTTGCGTATTTCATAGGCGCATTTTCCAATTTGCTGCATTTCCGGGCACTTTTTTTATAGTTTTTAGAAATCAGGTTTCCAAGAAAGGCATGTAAGAAAACCTGGCCTAAATGTACAAGAAATTTCGTAAACTATCATTAAGTTTTTGTGCGAGCGATCCCTGTTGCATGAAATAATTTTTTCACCATATATAGAGGTAAAGTTTTAAAACGAGTGAACAATCAGGTGTAAAACATTGGGGACACTTGACAAGATTTTTTGTGCACTTAGGCTAAGTTTCCTCACATCACTGGACATGCCGGTTTAGCAAGGACAAAGAAAATATAATCGAAGATGCAGGACATTTGAAAATGCACGTTGGAAATTATGCTTTTAGGAGTGCATTTCTGTCTTTTTTGACGCAAACTGGACCGCGTTAAGCAGGAAAGAGCCAAGCCACATAAGCTATTGCCAAATTTAACCGGGCAATTTAATTTTTTACGTGAAAATGGCTGTGCGGATTTGTATGCAAATTTCAGAGTATTTGCTGCACAGTGCGAGGCAAATAAAATTGTCAAGGGAATCCCCACAAACGTTCTCTCGTAAAAAATTGAATTGCCTAGTTAAATTTGACAATAAATGGTGTAACTTGGTCCCTCTTTGCTAAACGAGGTCCACCTATATTTCTATAATCAGTATCACTTGGGAGTCATCAAAATATTGTGCGGATCTACTCTTTTAAACTTGCCCGGAAATAAATAAATCGCCGATTCAACAATTTTGTAGTTAAAAAAGTGACTGCAATGTTTCTAATGTAGATTTTATAATTTTAAAAAAAATGCTAATTCAACCACCCCCGTGGTTAAGTTAGCTTTCCACTTTTGTAAAATCTACATTTGAAACATTGCAGTCGCTTTTTTAACAACTGAATTGTTGCTAGTCTTATACCATCGTTGAGAAGGCCAACCGCCCTCGTCCTCAAGTCCAATGTCCGCTTCATACAGTGGCGTGGTGTGAATTGCGATATATCGATTGGTATGTCACTTAAATCTATGGAAAAGGATCGATAAGCAGGGTGTTCGCAGCGAACACCTTAATAATCGATTCTTCACCATAAGTTTAAATGGCATAACAATCAATACATCGCAATTCACGCCACGCCACTGCGTCTCAACTCACAATCAGCAAAAAGCGAACTTGATCACTTTATCGAATGGGTACGGCAACATACACCTAATTTCAATTCCGGGACACGGTACACCCGTGGAGGCCCGAGACGGCTTCTGTGTGCGTTACGCGGCACCCGGGGCAGCTTTTGGCCGATTTCGGCCGATTTTGGCAGCCACTCCCGACATCGAACTTGGCATTTCGGTCTGCCGGCTCTCCGGGCCAAGCCTCTGTATCAGCTAACAGTTAATCGATTGTCTCACGTGGTTCCGTGAAGCTCTGTGCTACCTTCGCATTGGCCCGATTCGTGTCAGCTCATAGAGTGTTATTTGCGACCCACGATCGTAGTTGCCAGTTTTTTCAGCAAATTCCACCCATTAAACATTGATTTTTATGAAGGAAGCGAATATGTTTCTTTCAATAATAGCAACGCTGTGCACCATCTTCAATGGAAAGTGGTACGTGTTTATAATCCGGACGACGTGAAGTGAATAATCTTTAACTTACTCGGAGATTCGAGAGCCACCCAAGCCATGCTAAACGATTTTCGTTCAACTTTCGAGACGCCTATATAATTAGTTGGAGATATAGTGCTTAAAAAGCATTCGGAACTACTTTGAACGGCACTAATCGATAGCGGCACATTCTTACCATCATACAAATTCGGTCTTTTCCACCTTAGGAAAGAGCCCAAATGGACGTATTTCTATCAAACTGAACTATAATCATTAAGACATGAGCCCTGAGACCCATAAGAATATATGCATAACAGGGCTCATGTCATATTGCACATAGTTCCGTTTGATAGAAATACGTCTGAATATTTTAGGTGCACTTCAACACTCTATGGCATAGCGTTACGAAGTCGTAACAAAGAATTTTTCCGGTTTTTAAAAATTGAATCTTTCCTCTGTCGCATGATTTTGCAAGTTTTCATTAGTTTTTTCTTCTTTTGAATAACTGATCCCCGAAAATTTTAAATTTTGAAAAAAATGGTATCCTATTTTTTTATGCAAGCTACATATAGATCAGTGTCCCCCAGAATCTTGAGATCCAAAATTAATTCATGCCATTGAGGGTTAAATGCAACGTATGTAAGTTTTTTGGATATACCATACTAGAAACAGCTTGAAAGAACTTCCCGATCGCTTAAAAGTTATACTTTTCTAATAAATTAAATTTCATAATTCTGGAATAATAAAAATATAAGAACATATTAAACTATACTTGAACCAAACCCGGACAACTGGAGTCAGGATATGCGGAGATACAGCCAGGTATTCTGCAAAAAGTCTGATAATGGCCCCTGCGTATCTCCTGAAATGGATACAGCCCGAGGCAGTACGACTTTCATTCTGATGATGCTTTTAATCTTCTTTTTCCTTTCAGTGCAGACTACATCGAAATAATTTATGCAGGGCAGGGGAGGCGGGGAAGGGAAAATACAAACCTGTGCACACTGTACCGGACCCAAGAAACCGGACTGGGGCTACTTTCACGTTGTTTCTCTTGATAAGCCAACTCCCCTTAAGGCATGATCAAGTTCAGGCCATGTCCGTGCAATTGAAGATGAAGTCGAGTTTCTTTTACTTTTGCTGCCTTCCATGCCAAGGACAAGAGAACCCTGTTCCGGCGCGATC